TATTTTTAGGGTAAACATGCTTTTTGTAAACCATAGACTCTTGGCTTGACTTTACAGTCTGGGTGGAGTTTACAGACAGAGTTGGCAGACTTAGTCCAGTGTTTCACACTTGACTATGTTCTGTTTGGTTTGCCATTCATTAGAACAAACTTGACCTGAATTTCTCACGGAGTTCCACACAGTTCATTAGCGTAGATGGCGGAGGGATCAGCTTGTTCAGCTCAGCTCTTTCTGCCCTTTCTCAGGGTGGAGGAGGGTCTCATTACATGTTGGTAAAAAGACAAAAAGTTAATTGTTCTCCTTGGGAACATTTACGCATTAACCAAGGTAGTTTTTCCTTTTCCTTTACCAATATTTCTGCAAGATGTGTGTGTCAAGGGAAGTCATTTTTATGTCATCAACAGACCTACTGTAGGGCATTCAAGGCATGCCATTACTGTTCTATATGCATCAAAATTTTGTTATGCATCTAGCTATTTTCATCAATACATTTTATTGCCTTAGAAAAACAACTAATGCTTCACAAAAGTGCGGCCTTACAACGCAAGACTTACAAAACACAATGAAAAAAAAAATTCAGGGATGGAGGAGTTTTGGTGTATGTGTTCTCTCAACCACAGGCAGGCCCATCACACTGCTCACTCAGAACATCTAGCTGTCAAACTGGATATCTCACTACTGAAGGATCTGTGATCAGGTTAGAGTCCTGCACCACACTGAGGTTGGGTATCAACTTTAAGCTACATGTAGAAACAAAAGATGTATTATTTTACAGGTACAGGCGCAGGTATAAATAAATAAGCAATTGTGCGGGTAAGTAGAAGAAAAAGTAACTGGATGAAGGAAAGTTATTTTTCATATCTTATTAATAATCAACTCTGTCTCTTACTGAGCAAATTTATATAAGGATGACCAGATAACGGCTATTTTTTAATAATACAAGCTGAAGACACCAAAGAACGCTTGTTTTTGGTGTGATAGAAAGATCATGCGAAAGGTGCCTGAACCTAGCACCAATAGTGTGTAACCTTCTTGCTATCCTGGCATCAAGTGCAGCTAGCTGAACAGACTTTATCTACAGGTACTGAGATTAGGTCAGCAAGTACTGATTATTTTGCAAATCAATCTGTCGATTATATTTTTATTAATTGATTAATAATCAATAGCAAAATGTTAAAAAAAGAAGACTTTTTGTGAAATTAAACCAGGTGAAACTAAAACTATTCCACTTGAGGAGTTCTGGATAGAGCATATTGACAGACAAGCAAGATTTTTATCTTAAATACAAAATATTAATGTATTTTTTTCACAATCTTGGTATAATTACTGCTCTAAGTGGGTCACTCCACCAGCTAAAGGAATGTTTTTGAGTCTCTATACTCATTTTAACAATTAATCGATTACTAAATCAGTTGATGATTATTTCAATAATTGATTAATCAATATTAATCCGATAAATTGATGCAGCCCTAATTGAGATCAATGAAAGGAGAAGCATATTAATGCAGAACTGACAACATTCTTTTTTTGTGCAGCAAACTTAATAGCAAGGACCCATCAATGAGTAAACATCACAAGTAATAAAATAAACAGACACTGAAATAAGTTCATTTGAGCTCTGACGTCATTTTGGATAACGAGGCAAATGCTACTGAAATAGTTTGGTCTTGCACTGTTTTAATTCATTGTAAAATCAAACGGTTGTTTCAAGCGGGTCTTATTTTGATTGACTTTTTGTCTGCATGCCAGTGTGTGTGTTGTACATGTCAGAGAAAGAAAAGCCCCTATGGAATTCTGTTAGTTTACCTTTGATCATTGGGAGTGCAGTGCGCAACGGTGTGACAGAATCAGGCAAGTGTTTGCGCTTCTACTGTTAAAAAAGTACCAGCAAAGTAGAATATTGAGCAGAAATTGGCATAAACTCTAGCAGTGTGAACCTGCCCTTAGTAGCATAGAATAGTGAAACATATTCGACACACACTGCTGTCCTCCCACTCTAGCCTTAATCAAAAACACAAATCCCCTCTGCTAAACTACAGTAGTAAACAAACTGAGTAAACAAAGTTACTATGCTGCTCTGCCAGCTGAACCACACAGTTGTGCTTTTAAACCTCCCAACAGTGTCTAACATATTTCCCTAGTTTTAAATATATGCTTGTGAAGAGTTCCCAAAGGCCTGAGAGCAGACAGTCTGACGGAGCTGTATCAAATCTCTTACACCATGAGGCCACACAAACACAAACATATGCACTGGATTACTTTTCTTGGCTCAGATGCCAACACACTGCAGACAGCTGCTGAAAAGTGAGAGCTATTTCTGCAGACCTGCCACACGCAAACACAGAGATGGTTTAAAAAAGGAATCCACTGTAGTTTATTACAGCCACAAAATGTCTTATCACCAATCAATGTAGGAATCTGTGAATAGAGTTCCTTTCCCCTTACATCAGAAACTGATTAAGGCTAATAATTCAACTGATGGGTGTGTTGTGGGAAATGTAAAAAATTATTCTACTTTAAAACTTTAAACATTTGTTGGATGTAACATAGGGTTCACTATAATGCAACTCGACCCTTTGTTTTGTTTTGTTTTTAATTAAGACATTTCAAAAATGGAGCTGGAATCATATTTTTGCCGAAATGTGTCTTACCATCAGAATTCATACTGGCCTATGCCTAGTGAGACCAAATACTCTTAAGCAACATATGGTATATCTGCTTTTAAAAATACTAATCATTGGTACAAAAAGATTATGTAAATTGGGGTATACATTTTTTCTTTAAAAAAAAATCCTTTTCCAAGGCAAAAAGTTCTGCCTTAGAAAAATCCATATAAATGAAAATGATGTTTTTTTAAATCAAGAACATTGAATTGCAGATTATGGAATAAGTTGATTGTTTAAAAGCAAAAATTACATACTTAGGTTTAAATGTATAGATGCATCCGCTCTAATTTCTGAATTAATATCCCATATCCTCAAACCTGTATTTTTTCTGCCATAAACAACTTTGAGTCATGATTCTGCTGAACTACTTTTTATTTCAGAACTAGCTAGTTATTTCAAGAGGTTAGTATCCTGGGATACTATCCACATAATTCAAATTTGGTTGAAGTTTTAGGTTTGATAAAAAATATTCCTGTGTCTTAATGTCAGTTATTATCATTTTGTTTGTAGCATTTTTGCCTTTTAAAAAGCTTGTTTATTTAGTTTGAATGGTGATGCATTTCAAGGAAAACTAATTTGTGGTTTAAGTAGAAGAATTTAGTATGTGGGTTAGGAAACTTGCCAGATCCTTTGTGCCAGAAATAAACAATTTCAAGCACTGCTGAAATATACAGCTCCAAGAATGGACAGAGCGTATGAGTTCTGGAGAAAAGCCTTAGGGTGAGACGAGAAACAACCAAAACAATAAATGGTATTTTAGGTTCCAAGAAGAGGCTTTTAAAGCTAATCATGTGGTATTATGGCATGGGGATGTTTTATTATGAAAAGCAGGAGAAATGACGAGGAAGAGAGACTGCATCCTCTTCATCAGTTTTTGACTAAAATAAGTTTAAAAGGTTGTCTTTGACAATATAACCAACCATTAGCAGGGAAGAATGTTCCAGCACAGATGTATAATTCTAGATCTATGAATATCAGAAGAAACCTGCAGTAACTTCAGACTTCAGAACTGAATTTATTTTCTAATAATTAAAGTTGTAAAGTTTGCTGCATAACCTTTGTCAACCCAAATTCAATAACTACCAACTACCAACCATGTTGTAAGGGGCAACAAAACAGTCTTTAGGCTATTTCCTATAGTTGTAGGTGAGTTATGGTTCCTACTGTATGTTATCCTCACAAATCTGGGGGAGTATGAAAGAAAAAAAAAATGTAATCTTTTATTGCAAGATGTTGCGACATCTTGTGAAGTGTGCCTACCAGTATGGTTTTGTATTCACCTGTTCTTGCTCCTGTGTTACAAATGTATGTGTGTTGGGTCAGCATTTGGCCGGGAGTAATTCAAAGAGGACAAGATGAAGAAGCAGAAATGACAATGTTGTAATAATAAAAAACAAATAATTCCATTTGTTTAATAAAAGCATAATGTATAGAGCCATTTTATACCTGAAAGGTAACCTTTAAATAGCAGCTATTGTGATTTATGGTATGATTAGAAGTTTAAAAGGGATGCAATATTAACTTGCTCGGGGGTGAGTTCAACGTAACAACAGTGGAAACACTGCACCATGAACAAAGACTTTAAAAAGCCTAGCACTAAGTAAAAAGGTGACTTACAAAATCCATCTTCAATTTCTTACTCAGGAAATTGCCTCTGCCCCATTAGTTCACTTTATATGACTGATTGCACTAAGGATCATTTCCACTAGTGTGCAACAATCTGGGATGCTGTTTCTTACAGCAGCCTTCTAAAGTAACATGTTCCTATCAAGTTTTCAGTCTCACATCTGTCAAAGTGACAGTAGAAATTTTCCTATAACAGGTCATATATAAAAAAAATGTGAAGACTGGTTATGAGCTTTAAAGTTTAGAGTCAGCCTGACCTGACATGATTGAACAATGATTTCAGTACAATGCTGCTAACAGATTCTTGCTCCAGATGCATCGTCACCTGTTAGGGTTATTGTTGTAAAGGCTGCAGCTCATTTACTGGACTTGAAATCCAAGAATTTTCTAACTGATTATTTAAGATGTGTGATCTGACAGAAAGAAAAAGCCAGAAAAGAAAAAAAAAATTCAGATAATCAAAAAAGAGTCAAGGATTTTAAAATCAAATTATAACCATTGGTCACTAGAGTTTGCTTCCAGAGTAGATACTCTAAACTATTGGAAATGTAATCAAATTTAATTCCCTACCAGTCTTGTTACAAAAAAACCCCAAAATCTATCTTTCATTTCCATTTTATAGAAAATGAGGCCCCCAATGCATACTGTGTGTTTACCCCAAAGCACACAGTCTTTCATATCATTTTACATTTTTTAGGTGCTACTTACCTTATTTTCAGATTCATTTAGGTCTGTTGTCTTCGAAGTTGCGTCAAGATCGGTCACTCCTCTGTTAAGGTTTAAGTCCTCGCCCGTTGGCACCTGCACCACGTCTTCAGCGTCAATGTCCGTCTCCTCAGCAACGATCGCTGGCTTCTTTTCTGGGCCTGTTAACTCCCGGGCTGGGCCGAATAAAGTACACACACATACAGGTGGATGAGCACGCACACCTGCATACATACATGAAGGCATGATTATGTGTACACACAAGCACGCATGGGTAGACACACATAAATACCAGTGAGAAACATTATTAGTGTTTACACAAAAGCATCTTTTATTTGACTGAAATGATAGAGTGCCAATTTATATTTTGAAAAATGTTATTAAAGATGTATGGGGTTGTAAGCCTGTTAATTAAAACAAATGTTTTAAGTGTTGTTGTTTTGTTTTAACCAGATTATCTCAGAGGTGGCCATGCATTTATCCACAACAGAAATATAATTCTTTAAAAGCAACTTTTTCAATGACATCTATCTACAGAACCCTTCCTGACCAGTTGCTAGAACAAAAATAGTAAAATCTGATACCTTCTGCCTGCAAGATGTCACTTCTTAACAGATCAAAGTGGAGTTTGATGACCCTGACCAGGAAAGTTTGATCTCCCTTAATAACCAGATTTTTTCCATTCCCAGACCTATTACAGTGGCTCGGGGTTGTTTGTAGGTTTTCGTTGTACAAGATCATCTGTTTTAGGCAAATTTGCATAATGGTCATCTTACAGTCAGTAGATCTGAGTTTGTTTTGGTCAAATTCGGCTTAAAACCAAGATTGCATTTGCAATTGAAGTGTTGAATGTTTGTTTTGCTTTTAAAGTTACATCTTACAAAACCATCACCTTTGTAGATTGCTCAACAATTACAGACATTTTCTTTAACATTCTGCTAATTCCAAAGATTTTGCAAAAATAAAGAAAAGAACACCAGCTCAAATTACAATATGAACTCTTAGACAAGATGAAAAAAGAAAACAAACTACATTTCTTTCTGAAATTACTGTTTTGTTTTTGAAAAATCCAGCTAAACAACAAAATAAAAAATTGTTCAAAATAGCTTTTTTTTTTATTAGCTGAAACACTAACAGGGTATGAATTTAGCTCACTCATCCTACTTTATTTCTATCCCCAGCAGTAAAAACTCCCACCATTTTCTCCCATCTCCTCTCCCACTGATCCTCTACTTCCTTTTAAGAACAGCTCTAGTCATCCCCTCTACTTAAACCTAATTTCCAACAATTTGACAAGGAGCTTCAGACTTCCCACAAAATCCTCTTGATAACCTGCTCCCAGCTACACTCGTCTTTTTCCCATTTCCTGAACCCTCACCTCTAGTCCGCTATCAGAGTTGCCTTCTCTTCTCTGACTCTGACACGGTGACCCTCGGTTATGTTCAGATTTTTATGTAAAGCTAACTCACTGACTGATAATATGTTTGAGCTGATATTTTATAAACTATTACTAGAGTATAAGGCGCCAATACAAGGTTAATATTTTTCTTTCATACTCATTTTTGTTCAAATACAATAAATCTAGTTCATTTAAGTTAAATGTAAAAGTAAAGAGGAGGATAAAGGAGCTTGAAGTTAAAAAGGGGGAGTTAAAAAAAGTTAAAACCCCCCAAACCTTGTTAAAAGATACAGATTTCAGTGCAATGCCTAGTTTAAAGTAGGGCTGGACAATATCAATCTATCACAATATATTGTAACAAATCTTTTTTTTACAGTAACTGATATAATTTTTAAACACATTTCTGATATTTTGATTGATATGCATTACATCCTGTTAGTATTTGTCACTAACTGACCTTCTTGGTGCAGCTGATTCAGAAAGAGGGGCAACACATTGGCAACATTAGTGACCTACTGTGCACCATAGACAAAGAGGGCCTGTGGCTGCAGCCAGGCTGCGTTCAGCTGTAGGCCAAGTCCGAGTGTGCTAAGTTTTAGCTACAAAATGAGCACCCATTATAAGGTTTCTAAATGTCCCATTTTGGACCACTTCAACCTAGCAAACGTCTTTAAATTCAGAGCTTGATGAATTAGAAAAAGAGTGGGGGTAGACTGTGTAGAAGGCGTGATGCTTATAAGCAACATATCAATGTGCTTCTTCAAGAGCTGAGTGAAGCTTGCAGCATGTACATAACAGCTGGCATACAATAGAAAGCAGAAAGTCAGCCATCCTGTGATATTATGGGTTGTGTAAATTGATTTATTTAGTTTTGATTGAGCTGATCTTTGCTGTCACGTCAGGATGCATTACTAGTGTTGTCAACATTCGCTGTGCCAGGGTAGCGGAGAGAGAGAGAAAGTGGGCAGAGATCTTAACAGGAGGATAAAAAAGATAGGTAAATAAAAAAACTTGTTTTAAAAGCTACCAACAGCATAACAGCGGTTTAACTACTTAAAGTTTAAGAACTGCCTGCTGGTCTTTATCTGGCATTTTCTTAGTTAGTTATGAGTTGTTTTTTCTATTTTATTATATAGACTTGTTATTATAGAAATGTGTGCTTGTCTTCTTGTACACATTAAAGAATAAAAAAGGAGGCAATAAAAGAGAAACTGTAAAAAATGCAATAACCAGTGGACGGAGAAATATGAGGAGGGAGAGAACTACCTGCTTAAATGTGTATTTTGTTCAACTTAGAGCTCAAATTAGAAATGGTTTGGATTTATTTTTTTTAAACAATAATTACAATTAAAATGATGAAATACTTCAATTGTCCCCCCCCCCCCAGGTTTGTACAGGAAACTGCTGGGGGCTTTCTTGGCAGATTTTCAGAGGGTTTCTTAAATAATTCATATCGAAACTGGAATTATAATAAGTGACTGAAATTAAGGAACGTATTGTAATAAGCTTTGGCCATAATTTAGAGGGTTTCTATGTATAAGCTCTGTTATCAGTATCATTGAACATAAGTAGCACTAAAATTTCTAGGTTGTGGCTGTCACAACAAACATTGCATATGTGCAGCATTTCCATATTTTTTTCTAAACATCTACTGACTGCTGGGTGTCCTTGTAGATTTCTTCCTAAAATACCTAAAGCATTGGTAACTGTTCATTATATTTGTTCATCAGAAATGTAACCAAACACATTGTTGCACCAGGTTTAAAATTCCACATTTATAAATCAACCAATCAATTGATGTACTTGTCTTCCTGGTGTTTATTTTAATATGGCTAATTAAAACCATATGAATTCTTAATGAGCTTTAGTGAATTGTAGGACACACGTTTGCAGATATGAATAAATGTCGACCTATAGTGACGATTGAAAAGTCTGCATTATGTTTTGCATTTTAAGTGGATAAAAAATCTTACTGAAGTTTTTTATTTTTATTTTGACTTTTACAACTTCGCTTGTTGATCTGTCTGTATGGAGATTGTTTGAATCAATACAGACATGCAGGCCACCTTTGGCATGGTCACTATCAGTTTCTGTGCTTAAAGCTACATCTTCAGGAGGGATTGCTGCATTAAATGCTCGATGCAAACAACTGTGAATTGCCCGAACATGAATTTCCATGATGGATTAGTGCAAAGTGAGTAAATCTATGCAATGAGCCCAGTTAGTTGGACTATAAAAACTTTAACCAATAATTACTTGATGCACTGCATTGTTTTATAACTACAATCAAACTAAAATCTGTGAATTTGAAATCATATATTTTAATGTCATTTGACCTTACTCACAATATATTTCTACATAAATCAGATTTATTCGTCTTGCAAAGTAATTTCAGACACTGGTTAATTGCCACTAAATAAACTGACTAAATTAAATAAAAAAGTCAGATCTGTGCCTTTTCCTCATAATTATCTAACTCTTTGCTAAACCGTTTTCCATCAAATTTAATAGAAAACTGATGTTTTTAACGCCTAAAACAACGAGTATACAACGTAAGGACTTTTCTTTTCTATATCTAGAGAAATGTAGCTGGAGGTTTGAGGCCTGGAGGGTTTCCCAGCAGCTTTAGCCTAAACTAAAATTAAGGTCTAAGAACAAGAACCATGTCATGGCACAGAGCTGGATCTGGCCAGGGAATACCCTGCCTGTTCTTTTACACAAGCACTTAAGACCTGGATTTAGCACCAATTCAATAAAGCATTGAAGAACAGTCAATACATTTGAGAAAAAGACCAAAATGGACTATTCAGTAATAAAAAGCTAAAACTGCACATTTATTTTTCGCTGACAACTAATCAAGTGGTGAAAAATAATTTTTCCTGATTCTAACATGGATATTTTCTGTATTCTTTCTCATTATTGAGTCTCAAGACTTCGGTTAAAAATGTGGTTCAATAAAAGAAACAATTAAAATGTCAAGTATTGTATAAACAGTTATATCAGTTTGATGAATGTGTATTAATACTAATGAAAAATTTAAGCATTTCTTGTGTTGTACTTTATTAAAAACTTTACCAAGATTGCATTGTTTAGTCTTAGACTGACTCTGTCTCTAGTATTGTTTTACTTCTGGGGAAAAAAAAAAGTCCTCTGAAAATGAAATTTAATCTACTTTCTTCTCATCTCTCCACTGCTTAACCCAGTTTTCCATTCCCTCTCCTCCTCTTTAATCAACTTTACATTTCATCGCATTTTGTTCAGCTGGTTCCTTGGAAAATGCATTTTCTTCTTTTTCGGCTCCTTCCCCCTTTTTAATTCTCTAATCCGCCATCTTCTGCTTTTCTATCCCCTCTCCTTTCATTGCTGGGATAATTAGTTCTCCAGATAAGCTCATTGGCTCTGCACGGTAGTTCTTGTGTTATTTCATACACTGAGTAGGCGAATGTGAGTGTATGTAGCAGGGTTCGTTCTGAATGTATGTGGGGTCTTCTTACATCTGTGTGGCTGTACAATCAAAGAGCGTGGGTGATCTGGGCTCATCAGCATGTGAAATATGAGTATGCCTCTGGCTGGTTTGGGGTTCTGAAGATAACACTTTGGTGCTCTGCTCTGTAATAACTGGAATGACTGTGGTTAAAGAGCAGAGTTTGTGGACTTTTCTTCTGCTAAATCTCCATGTCCGTTCTCTCAGAGCTCACGTTGAGCCGTAGGCCGCAGGGCGACGGGAAAAACCCAACCTGCCCAGAAACTAAGCAGTGGATAAGAGATAGTCAGCCCAGGCAGATTATTTTGCTGTAAATGATCTCTTTGACAAAAATCATTTGGAAAATTGATTAAGTATCACCTTCCTCACCATGTCAGGATTAGGTACCCCTCTGGCAGTGCCTAAAGGATTCTGTGACCAGATAATGACCTATTTTCTAAAAGGCTAAAATGACACATTGGGCTCCTGTTTCATGTAATATTAGCTACATCACTAACATTTTAATATCTGAATCACAAGACAGTCAATAAAAACAGGTTTAGATATTTTGAGTGACTCCGACTTCCATTTAAATATCCAAAAGATTTATGAACCCTCCTATCCAAACAATCAACTACCTGTCAAAAAGGCAGAAGATTAACATGGTCTTCAGGATTCATCTTCACATATTTCTATGTACTTAAAGACATAAGATTTATTGTGGTGCAGGTTTAGAGAACTCTGGATCTCATCGAGGATACAGTTTGCTTTTTTTTAATGTCAGCTGAAGACGGTTAGGTAGTGAAAGAAGTCCAGGAACATGAGTACAACAACATGGTGTTAACTATCACTATTTTAAACAGAATCTGTTAGTAAAACTTTGATACACTATATCAACACTAAATTTTACAAATGTACTGCCTTGTAGAGAGTATTTACATTTTCTGGGCTTCTTGAAGGGCATGTTTTGGAACAGATCACAATATTTCTATATTCTTCAAAAGGGATACCCTTACCTCAATGTCTTCCTAGGGTAACCTTGCCTGCACGCTGAATTTCTGCAGTATAACCAACACACAATAATACATTTTTGTACCTCTCCAGCTTAAATCCTTCAAGACCAGCCCAAAAGAGTTTGGTAATTCATGTTGCAGTATTATGGTTTAAGGCGCGACATATAGCCTAACAAAAGCAAGATATGCCAAGCCCACAGCCGAACCAAAATAAATAAGGCAGCACAAGAGGACATATGCATAGCTGCTGGTATCACATCTGTTTTGTCAGAATCAGGACATTTATCTTTAAAAGAGGAACAGAGTTTTACAAACTGTTGAACACTAAACTGGACTATGGACTCTGCGTCACACTGGCAACATTATTTTACACTACCAACATAGCTGAAACTTTTATAATCCTTTTAAAACAGTTTAGGAGACACCATAATAGCTGACACAGACGGAAATTGACTAAACTCTTAATTTCAGATCCATATTAACACTATGGCAAAAACATCATAGAAATATATCAATTTTTATTCTCCGTGTGGTATTTTTGGGGACAAACAAAGCCTAAAAATCACCAAAAACCTCTATGTGAATACAAATGTCATTAGTTATACCAAGTGAAGAAATTCTGCTCAGCACACTCTAGGAAACAGCTTCTGCTTGTTTTTATTTTCCTCTAGATTTCCAGGTTCTAACTGGAACACAGAGAGGATCCAATGATCCAAGGGGAATACAGTAGGGAATACAATAGGAGAATTCCTCTGAAGAAAATCCCTTTTGTTATTTTTAAAGGGAGCATTTACAACAGTGTCTGGCCTTTGGTGAAGAGAAGAAGACATGATAGAAACAGAAGCGCTTTATAGTGAAGTAGACCACTCTGGGTCAGACCTTTATCAGCGAGTGATGAATGATATGGATAAACAGACTAGCTGGTGCCAGAGCTTCTGACCAGGTCATATTACAACCGATCTGATGACCTCAGACAGCTCGTCTCCTCCTCAAGGTTAAAAAGTAACGACAGAATGCTCTAAATACTGCTTTAGATATGACCTACATATTTTAGTTATAGTATAAAGATATTGCTCTTTAATCATTTTAACCTTAACCAGATTTTGAAAGACAACAGCATGTTATAATTTTTGTGAGACAAACCCAAGAAACATGACATGTTTCTAATTCTTAACATGACTTTACTTCAAGGTGCTTCTGTAAACACATGTAAGCCTTTCAACAACTTTGATTAAAATTCAGCACTCGGCCAATACTGACCCTGAACTCTATAGCTCTTTTGTTCAATATGACTTCATTATTTTATAAGCACTATGCAGGCAAGCAGTAAGATTGCTTTCCATACAGGCCATAAAAAAGTGAAAGCAGTATTTTTAAATATTGATCAACTTTACAAAAAAAAAAGAAAAGTGTCTCTTGCTATAAAAGAGATCCATAAGGATCTGTGAATTTGTGGATGTGTTGTGGGTGTATGTCTGTGTGTGTGTGTGTGGGTGTATGTGTGTGTGTGTGTGTACCAGATGAATTGCTGCCACTCTTTTCCCCGTTGCAGTCCGCCTTTTCGTCTGCATTTTGCTGTGTATGTTGCAGACTCAGTTTATGACAAACCTCGAATGCCTGGCCGACGGTCCGGACGATTCGCATGGCCTGACTCTGGGTGGGGCACAGAGAAGAAAAACAGAAATAAAGTTGCATTCCTGACAACAAGAAAAATGCTTCAAGCACAAGATGTACTTCAATGCATGCAGGAACTCAAACTAAGCAATAGGCAGACAAAAGAAAGTTAATTAAGACCAAATCACAGTTGGTGGTACTGGCAGGGCTAGCATGAATGCCAAGAGTTAAGTAAAGGATCATTCTAGGCCAATTCAACTGAATCCCAAAGAAGGGAAACTTTCTAATGACTTAGTTACTAAAATGGTCTTGTCTTCAATGTATTTAACATTAAAGTCTGACTATAGAGTTTTCTTTTCATCCGGTGTGTTCAATGTTTCATCTGGTCGAGACTGCTGGCAATGAAACGTGTCATGGAAGGTAATTGAACCTCTGTAATTGACCCATTATGGTTTAACCTGTCAAGTCAGAATCCAAAGAAATCTCAGTAGAAGTCAAAATGAAATAGGGTAATAAGTGAAACAGACCAAGTTCTAATTTCTGCTAAATGGCATGAAATCATTTTGTAGGGGTAAATAAATCTGTTAACAATGGAATAATTTAGCTGATTATGACAACGCTCATATTTTACTGCAACTTCTGCTTTTCCTACCCAAAAAGGCATAAATCCAATAAAAAAAGTTTTCATAATGGATGGTTTTCCAGCTCAAGCAGATCCCCAAGATACTACAGCATAACATGTCTATGAGTCACAGTATCTTAGCTAGATTGTGACAGATAAGGTGGCTTTAGCAGTAATGACCTGCTACTTCATCTGGTACCATGTTTTAGCCTCTAATCAAGGATCCAGTTTTTCTTTTCCCACAAGAAAAAATGGATGTGGACCTTTACACTGCTCCAAAGTCACACTGAAGGGACAATAGCATTTCAAAGGCTCAATTTATTATTCAAGTGATTTCATATTTAGACAGCCTTCAGGAGTCTAGACTCAGTAAGTGGACTTTTTTCATCAGCTTCAGATGCTTGATTCCCCTTGTATCACCTTGTGCACAACAAATCCTTTGTGAATTCTGTATCACTGGATCAGATTTTATCAGCTGATATTCCACAAAGAAAGGTTCTTTGTGTTTACCTTTTAATCACTAAAATATCAACAAGTTTTGGAGCATTTGTTCCTTTACCCACAGATGCACTGACTTAGTTGTGTTTGCTTATCTCTCACATTTTCACCGGTTGCCCTGCTTTAAAAAGACAAGCTGTAATAAAAAAAATAAGAAAACAGAACAAGCTGATAAACATCTGCTATCAAGACTTTCTATTTCCTGTTGTGTACAGAAGTAAAAAAAAAAATAGAATTTCATTTGTACGTCTAGCCAATGGACATTATTTATTACAGTATCAGCTAAAATACAACAAGTGCAACAAGAAATAAAAGCCAGATAAAATGTACATGCAAATAAAAAAAACGAACAAAAGTTTAGCATTAAGTCACACGGCTCCATCTCTACATCTGACTCAAAAGTGAAAATATAAAATGCTTTTGCAAACATCACTACATAATAAAATACATGATATCTTATCTCAGTATCCTCACTTACAACATATAGGGAGGTTATGAAGTTCTCATTTGTCCTGCTAGTGTTAATAAAAGCCTGGAAAAACATATCTCATTTTCAAAACCTAATTTTTTTTAAATTGAAAATAAGGGTAACTTTAATGCAAAAGTTTTTTCTGATGCAGGCAGTAAAAATCCACTCGTAAAACCAACAATTTTAAATAAATTAACAATGATCTAAATCTGGAATACTCTAACTCTGGGGTCTGGCATATTTTCTAGTCTAGAATGGAACCCAATTTGCTTGAACCCCTTTTGTGGTTTTCAAAGCTGAAGTTGCATTCACTGAGCTCACCGTAGGAGGCTAAAGGGAATGCTGTGCTGGTGCTTTCAGATCGAAATCGGCACGGATGGTGCTGCATTTCAAAATAAATGTACTTGGAGCAAAGATGAGTTAATACTACTGTAGAAAAATGCAATGTGGAAATAATGGATTTTTGTCATTTTAAAATTGACAACACTTGCAGATACAGATAGGGAGCAGTTAAAGTCTCTAGAGGTTCACTGTTATGTTAACACTGCACATATTTTTCTATTAAGAAGAGTTGATGAGAGAAAAAGCGTTTATTTTCTGTGGTGGGTTATAATTTTTTGAAGTATGGTATCAATAAACATTCAAGCTTCAAAGACTTTGCTTAGAGATTTCAAAAGTTTGACCGCAATAAGATGGCAATTTATTTGCAGAATTCTCTGAAACTAAAGAGACCTTCTTGAATCTGAGATGGATGAACACATGATGGTATGAACACATTACTCTGCTCCTACTTCATAGAAAATGTTGATGTCTAGAAGACGTCTTCTTTTAATATTCTTCTTAATATTGTTATTGTTATTATCTCTCCAGCATTTTTATTTTCCAAATTGCTTTAGTGCTTTGCTGCCAGACTTCCTGTGTGTTGGGGCTATGGGTACTCTGTGGCAGTCCCTGGTGTTTGTCTGCACAGAGCCGCTGTGGCCCACAGGAGTAGAGGCTATCTGTCCCTCTCTGCTCTCAGGTATCTGTTAGGTAGATCTCCTTCTCACCCTTTAGACAATTTTGCAAATCACAAAATGACAAAATTGCACTCACTTACTTAAACTACACAGAAACCTAGTCTACACACGGGCACATACATGCAGACACAAACATGCCTAAACACATGTACGCACTTTTGTTCACCAACACAAGCAATCAAAAAAATAGGAAGGTTTTAAAAACAGCTTCAAATTTCAATAATCTAACCTGCCTATTTTGATGCCACATTCAACCATGATTTAGTAAAGTAAATCACACAACATGCTTAATTTGTCTCTGCTACGCTGAAACCATGCTGATTTTTGTCGTTTTAAGCCTTGGACCGACATCTGGACTACGTAACCTTGGGCTCAGACGTTTTAGCACAAAAACTGGCTAGGAAACACGTATATTACACTGAAATTATGCTAATACAAGAACTTCTAACTCTTCTTTTTTTTTTTTTTTTTTTTACATATTTACCTCCTTATATATATATACACCGGTATATATATATTAGTGCTGTCAATCGATTAAATTTTTTTTATCGCGATTAATCGCATCAATGCCTAAGTTAACTCACAATTAATCGCATTTTAATCACACTTTTTTTTTTCTAATTGAAAATCATTTAAATACTCTCGATGACATACAAAAAATACATACAGGCTAGGTTTGTGCCAATGTTCTTTTTTTTTAATGAAAACAGGTCACAGATACTGATTTATGCCATAGAAACATATGGCAAGAAGATGGGGAGGCATGTAGCAAAAAATAACAAATATGTAGCCAAAAAAAGGCCCTGAAAACAGGCTGATGTAAAAGACAGTCTTTACAGTTAATACAGTCTTTTGAACAAAGACAAGCATTTTACCCTACTGCTATAAAATGTAGTAGAGTTAACATTAGATGTTAATTAACCAAGGTAATAATGAACAATTTTCAATCCACACATCAAAATCAATAGACCGACATCACTAGATGGAGGTAGTCTATGCTCTAGAAGGTTACTTTTCAGCCTCTTAACAAACATGAGAACACACACACACCCACCCACCCACACACACACACACACACACACACACACGATACTGACCTGTGGCGTACACAGACAGCAAGAGTGCCGTAGAAGATTCCATTTCACCTCAGTAATCTGTTTTCTCAGCGTATTTCAGGTTGCTACTAGGCACCAGACACTCAACTTGTTTGTTGGTGGTGGGGCTTAAAGAAAAGGCACTAGCGTCACCCAGTGTATGAGAGTCTTTTTCCCTTGAGGAGCTCCGCTCTCGAAGCCTATGGAAAATGCATAGACTGGGGGAAAATAGCCCCGCCTTCCCGCAGGCTGCAGCGGGATGTACTTGGAAAATTGTACCATAAAACCACATAGCGTTAATCTCACGTTAAAAAAATTATCTCCATTAAAATGGCCTCGCGTTAACGCGATAATAACGCGATAATTTTGACAGCACTAATATATATATATATAAATATATATATGAGAAAACAGCTCTGAAAATGTGAACCCTTTGCCTTCGTCTTAAAGGAGTATCAGCTTTGCATTTAATCCAATCCAGAAAGAAACTCTGTTGTTTATACCCTTCTTAAACTAAAAGAAAATCAAACAATATACCAGAATTCACAAAGTGTTAGAACTGCTGACCAATCAGTTGGACTCTTACTAGTCCACTCCTGATAAATGGTATTGCTCCCAATCACAAGAAACATGTTGGAAAAAACAAAAACATTGTTTAAACCTAATCTACATGGGGTATACATAATTTGGATTTATCAGTATAATACAAGTTTCCATATATACTGTACAGTCATCAGGTTCCCTCATGGAATATATACAGTATATACAGTGCGTCCACATATGACAGCTTTTTTTTAAATGTTTTTTTTTTATAGCAGGGTTATTATACAGGGTTATTGCATAGGTTATAGGTGGATATCTATATAGCTATTGCAACGGGTGTCAAATATAAAGAAAAAGGTTATTGCACAGGGTATTAAATAGTGATTGCACATTATACATTGCACATTTGAGTCCTTCTTGCAGGCAAACATTTTAAAAATTGAAGTCCATTAGGTCACACCATTCAAAATAATTCCTAACTGCATTGTAGGTGTCACAGTTGTGGCAAAAGGCTCAGAGAAAATCCCACACAGGCATTATAGCAAGAATATAAATTGCTGCAATGAAAGGAAGGAGGAGGTTGGATAAAATAAGTGTTTTGGTGTTTGAAAGGATAACAAAGTTGTTGTTTTGACCTCAAATGCAAACAAAGCTGTAGCTGCAGGTGAACAAGTACCTGAATGCAGCACAGTTTTGTCTTTGGGACACATTTAATCTTTGGCTATGTGGGAATCACAGTGCTCGGGACCAAACCGCAAACAACTAAACATTTGTCATCATACAGACAAAACAGC